ATTTGATTTTTCTTCCCAACCCAATGGAATGCCAGAAAGAATGTTAAGTAAAATGTCCATCGGTAGCATAACTGTCCAAAATAACCACAGATCAAATCTGGTATGGGTTAGAAACCAGCAAAAAAAAAAGAAAAGGAAAAAAAGGTCAGATTAGAAAAAGAAACTAGATCAGGATAGAGACTACAAGGGAAATAAAAATAAAAATCTTCCAATTCATTCCATTGGATGACACAGCAAAGCAAGGGCTCAGAATATTGGTTTCTGCTCCAACCTTCCTTCCTGTTCACATGACCAAGAGCTAAGTTATCATTAGGAGAATGGAAAACATTTCAAGTGCCAAACTCTGCATGCCTGCTACAGCAATAGCACTTAGACTTACATACTGCTTCATAGTACTTTTACAGCCCTCTCTAAGTGGTTTACAGAGTCAGCATATTGACACCAACTATCTGGATCCTCATTTTACCATCCTCAGAAGAATGGAAGGCTGAGTCAACCTTGAGTCGGTCAGGATCAAACTGCTGGCAGTGGGCAGAGTTAGCCTGCAATACTGCATTCTAACCATTGTGCCGCTACGGCTCAATCTATCAATTACAACCTTCTGGTCTTCTGGATTTTGTTGTTGTTCAGTCACTAAGTCATGTCCAGCTCTTCAGGATCCCATGGACCACAGCACCCCAGGCCTTCCTGTCCTCCACTATCTCCCAGTGTTTGTCCAAATTCATGTTCATTGCATCAATAACACTGTCTCACCATCTCATCCTCTGCTATCACCTTATCCTTTTGCTTTCCATCTTTTCTGACATCAGAGTCTTTTCCAAAGATTCTTATTAGGTGGCCAAAGCATTTGAGCTTCAATTTTAGGATCTGTCCTTCCAAAGAACAGACAGGGTTGTTTCCTTGACTGGTTTGATCTTGTTGCAGTCCAAGAGATTCTTAAGACCACAACACCACAATTTAAAAGCAATCCCCTGGATACCCATTCCCAATAATCTGAAACTGGTCATATTATTTATGCAGTCATCCTCCATCTGATTTATATAGCCACCCATTAGTTGATGTGTATGAAAAGTCTATCCCAGGTTTTAGGATGGCTGGGGAATTCTGAAATTCTGAAATCCACCCAGCATAAAGTTGCCAACTTTGAAAACACTGGTCTACACAATGGATTATGGCCTTGGCTAATAAACTCTCATCTGGAAAAGTTCAGAAGAGGCTTCGGAGAACTGGTTCCAACTGTACTTAGATAGACAAAAAACGGTAGCCATTTTGGATCCAGTTCCATTCAAAATGCTAGCTTTCTTCCTTGAAGCTCTGAAATGCTTCATTTCTAGGTCAAGATCAGAGTAGCATCAAAATGCAGGTAGGCCTCAACTTGCAACCACAGTTGAGCCCAAAATTTCTGTTGCTAAGTGAAAGATTTGTTAAGTGAGTTTTACCTCAGTTGACAACTTTTCTTGCCAGTTGTTAAGTGAATCACTGCAGTAGGTAAATTAGTAACATGGTTGTTAAGTGAAACTGGTTTTCCCATTGAATTTTCTTGTCAGAAGGTCGCAAATGAGGATTTAGTTTAGTTTAGTTTATTGTCACTGCACCTCATACAATGAAATTAAATAATATCTTCAGTGTATATTATGACCATGAAAATAAACACAAACACATATCCTTCACATTTTATACGCTGAATTGAAAACCCCTGATGTTGCATTAATATTGCACTATACAGTAGAATTCAATAGAGTTACTACCCTGGGATAGAAACTGTTTTTTAGCTATTCGTCCTTGTTTTTATTATCCTTATCTGCTAGATGGTAATAGTTTTAAAAAATGATCACATGATCCTGGGACTGTAACCGTCATAAATATGAGTCAGTTGCCAAGCATCTGAATTTTGAGCATGTGATTATGGGGATGCTGAAATGGTGCAAAAAACGGATCATAAGTCACTTTTTTAATACTAGTTGTAACTTTGGATCATCACTAAATGAATTGTTGTAAGTTGACAACTACCTGTACTTCCAATAAGTCAATGCTGCTAGAGTAATGAAAGAAAAAACTAGAGACAATAGGAATTTTTTGTTTGTTTGAGACATCTCAATGAATCATACAGAAAGATTTCCAACAAATGCTCATCACGTTTCTCCATGTTGTATCATGTGAGTAAACAGTATTCAAAATGCAGAACTATAGTGGAACAGAACATCATCGCTGTCCGCCATTCAAATTTAACATTGTCTTTATTCATGGTAAAATCTTTGGTGTTTGAGTAGTATGTCCAAACAAAGTTGGTGATATCAGAATATAATAAACACGGGCACCTGAGGGGAAAAAAACAACCATCTTTGCCTGGCTTAATTGTGTGTATTATTATTGCTGTATAATCACTTAATAGTTTTAATATTTTATCTTGCTGTTTTACGATGCTGTAAGTTGCGTGAAGTCGCCTGACAGTTAAGATGAGTGACATACATATTTAATAAATAAATAAGCATAATACTTGCACATAGCTTTTTCTCCCCCAATATCTTTCAACAAGTGATGTAGAACTATTAAAAAAAAAAGTACTGGTAATTATTCCCAAAAATATAATTCGTAGAGTAGGGATTTTATCAACTGCAACCATTTTCGCTTCAAACATTTCACTAAATAGTTTACAATTGGCCATTTTGAAAGTTTTCTCCAGCAGAGAAAAATTAAGTCCATAAAATGTTACAGAAAATCATTAAGTTTTTATATAACCAAGCAATCAACAATCTGGCTTGCTACTTAAACAACAACAAAAAATGACATTCAATAAAACCAGTGAATTTCATTATTTCCTTTTCTTTCTCCCTTCATTCAATTTGTTATAACAGAAACAAGAAAATGCATCTTTTTATTTTCTTGTTAGTGGGGAAAATGAAATATATTTTTTAAAAAAATACTGGTATTTCTTACTAAGAAAAAGAACACAAAGGCCTGGTCCTTACTTTATAATACATGGATTTCAATTCCCAGAATTCTGTAGCCAGCATGGTAAATTCTGGGAATTGTAGTCCACACATCTTGAAGTTGTCTAGCCTTAAAAACCCTGCTGAATCCAACACTATTTCTGAGCATTCTCAAAAACAATAAAATATCTCTAACTTCACTGTTCTGAACATTCCCAAGGATTTGAACATATGCTGAGATAATAATTGTATCCAATTTATTTCAAGAATTTTACTTTACCCAAGATGCTTAAAACCGCAACCTTAAAGAAAATACTTTTGTAACACATTTTAGTCAAAATGTAGCAGTTTCTTTCTCAATACAAAACTCTGATGAAAAAGAAATCTAGTCATATGCTAAGCGTAACTTTTCATACAGTAGATTGAAACATAGATTGATGCAGCCAACACAGAAGGCCACTGTGAATACATTTTGTCTGGCAAGTGTTTATCTGAGTAACATACTGTCTTAGTATTTCACAGTTGCAACTGGATTTAAAATCACTTGCTAAACAACAACAATCCTCAAAGGCACTTTATTAAAGCTTGAAGGTCACCCAGGAAAAAAAGTCCTGAATTGTCAGATTCCAGCTGCTACCCCACCCCATCCAGGCAAGATGACAGAGAATCATATGACTTGTAAATTCCTCCCGTCTACATCTTTTGGGAATCAGAAAATCAGAGACCCATGGTAGCAGCAGGAGTGTCAAAGTACAAGGAAAGCTCTGGTTTTCTTTTATCTTACTAAACTCCTTTCAGAGGAAAGCTTGAAAGATGACATAAGATTTAAAAGAAGCTGTGAAGATTGTTGATTCAGAACCCCAAAAACCCCTGGAAGAGCCAGCCAAAGGGATTCAGGACCAAACCCACCAACTGTCCCAGTAATAGACTGTTCTCTTAAGCTGAATGAACAGCCGATAGGAGCATTTAATTGTCTACGTTCATTATTTGGGAAATTGTGCAAAACAGTACTTACACAGCAAAAACTATCAAGCTGCCATAGCACAGTAAAAAAGTTACAATTCTGAAACAATGCCATTCCTCCAACAAGACATTTGTATGCAATGGATTTTAGCCTTTGGTTCTATTACCCAATTAGTTATCAACATTAGAACGGTTTTAAGCAAGGTTTCTTTGAATAAAGACACAATTACCACCAATCTTTCAGAATGTCATTTTATCTTCCCTAAAGCAAAAGCATTATCAGTGCATTATCAAAAGCAATCGGCAGTGTCAAGGAATTAAAGCTCTTTCAAGAAGGCCAGAAAACATTTTCTGCCAGCGATAATTTAAAGGATGCCAGAAAAACACTAGGTTAATTTGACAGCCTTTTAACCAATGGCTGTAAGAGGCTGGGATAGTGATTTAAGGAATAATACGGATAATGACATGATAGAAAAATGAAATGGATTAGTTTTGCTTCATTTTACAGAAACATCCTCTACTATGCATGCTTGAAAAACAGTCTTTGGTCTGCAAGATTTGTACAGTCCATTCCACACATATATTTTGCAGAAGTGAAGAATGACACCTATATCTTTGTTAATCATGACATTTAATTTGGGGGGGGGGGAATGGATTAGACTGAGCACGTTACTACTGCCACAAGATAATCCACCACACCCCATCTTCCCTTACTTTCATCATCTTCCAACTTCTCATCAGTGCCTTTGCTGGGGTTCCGCATTTGTGAGCAATTTCCTCCACTCCTTGTCCTTGCCACTAATTATTTACTGTTTCACCTGTGCCAAAGATACACCAAGCTTCATTCATTCCATACAACCATTTCCTCTGCGTAATTATATGGGCAAACAATCCTGCCTCTGTTGCCCCTAGTGTCATCATGAATGCAAAATAAATAGCAGGATATGGAAGAGAGAGCATGCACCCTCTCCTGCCTCCGAGCCTTTCAAAAGGGACCAGGAGCTCCGAAGCCTCCTTATCGCCCAAGAGCACAGATGTCACAATCATGAAGAACACAAGGCAGCACCCGCAGCCAAAAAGGAGAGGACAAACACTGATGTACTGTACCTCTTCTAGCAGCGTGACGGTGTTCCTGCAGTTCTGTAGCCGGGTGGTAAAACTGGAGGTCGTCGGGGAATTGTAATCTTCCGTCGTCTCAACAATAAACTCCGACACAGTGATCTGGTCCGGCATGATCCTGCCCCAAGGGGACAGTCAAAAAGCCACAAGGAGAAGAAAGGGGAGACAAGGAGAAGAGTGAGAGCATTAAACACAAGGCAGGGCATCAAGGAGAGGAGATCAGCTGGGCTCCTGACTGCAGTGGGAGCCTGCTGGAAAGAGAGGCGAAGCAGGATGCCCTTCCGGGTAGAGATTATACTAACTAGGAGTTGGGGGGAGGTATCTCCCCTGGGCCACGACTGTCTAAGACCAGCTCTTCTTCCACCATCCAAAGTCTCGGCAGGAGCTGCTCAGGTTGTCTCAGAGCCCCTATCACCTCAAAGGGGGGGAGGTGCGTCCCAGGCACACCCCAACTATTCCCTCCCCCAAAGATCTCCCCAGACTTTGCCAACAAGCTGCCAACCCAGTGCCAAGTCCAGCCATGCCCGCCTCCCTCCCATCCTTTTGCAAAAATGGCAAAGTGATCCCTCCTAGTTCCAGAAAGCCACTGGAAGGAGGCAATTGGGAAGGAGAGGAGTGGGATGGGCAGGAGAGGAAGGGGCGCTTCGCCAGGATCTCCTCTCCAGCCCCGGAGAGGGAGGTCGCGCTCCTTCCGGGGTACACCAGCTCCTTGGCATCTCCCCTTCCCCCCACCCCACCCCAAAATAAGGGAATCCATCGCTAAGGGTCGCGCCCCCTCCCCACCCACCACCGCCAGATAGAAGGACCAGGAGAGGGAAGGGAGCTTCTCTGCAAGGGACGGACCCCACCCCCCCACCTCTTTGGCGGGGTTGCTGCAGGAGGGTCTCCCCTTCTGCCCAGAGCTACTACTAACTTGCGCAGGCGCCCCCTCTGCCCCTCCGCTGCGCCCCCCCAAGATGGAGCGGGGGGGGGGTTGGAGGAGGGACCCGGCGAGGGGGGGAGAATCAGCAACAGCAGCGGAGGAGGAGGAGGAGGAGAAAGGAGACCCCCCGACTGCAATCCCCCCGAGCAAGACCGCCGAGCCTGCCCGTCCGCCCGCTCTCCAGACGCGCCTCTTCCTCCCTCCCTCCCCGCGCGCTCCCGCGCCGCCTGCTGCAGCCGCCTCCGCCAGCGGGCGGGCGGGTAAGGGGGGGGGCAGCAGAACGCACGCGCGTGTCTGCCTGCCTGCTCGCCTGCCCCGCCTACTACTCCGGAGTGTGTGTGTCGGGGGGGGGGAGGGGGAGGGGGGAACGACGGCCAGCGAGAAAGAGCGCGGGCGTAAACGCGCAGGCGCGCCCTCCTTCGGGTTCGCTTGAGACTTTCAGTGGCGCACGCGCTCTGGTGGGTTTTTGTTTCAGAAAGATACAGAGAAGGGACGGAGGAGGATTTACAACGCGCCCCGCCCACTCCTCTCGCTTCGTCTCCGCGCCTCGCGGTCACGTGAGGAAAACAAGGAAGTGGCCGGCGCACGCGCCGCGTCCCTTCCCCCTGCGGCGGAACTCTGGCGTGGGGGAGGGGGGGCGCGCGGGGGCGCGTGGGGGGGAGGAGTGTGAGGGGAAGGGCGGCGGCGGCAACAGCTCCTCCTCCTCCGTGCGCGTGCCCGCGCCAGCCCCGACTCCGGGGTGGGGGCAAAGTTTTAGCTCCGGATCAAACCAAACCAAATATCACTGGTGTGACTGGACTTTGCTTTGGGAGAAAGGTCGCAAAAGTGCTTTTTGTGTGTGTGTCTGTGTGGCAACTGGACTTGCTTGTTTTTTTTCTTTGAAGAGGTTTCACTTCTCATCCAAGAAGCTTCTCCAGCTCTGACAGAATAGTGAGGGAAGAAGGGACGGATATCCTGTCAGAGTTGAAGAAGCTTCTTGGGTGAGAAGTGAAATATCTTCAAAAAGAAAAAACAAAACAAAGTCCAGTTGCCTCTCCCCCCGCCCCCCCCCCAAAAAAAGCACCTTTGGGACACCCATGACCTGGATAACTGAGAATCTCTAAAGACTCTTAGGAAAAAAGTCAAAAAAGAGATTGCAAAAAGCCCGAAGGCTTTGGGTTTCGTTTGTTGCTTTTATTTGGGAAAGAAGAACATCCAAGCTGAGGTGAGGTGGATTTGCTCAGTTCAGAATAACAGACTTGGAAGGGACCTCAGAGGTCTTCTAGCCCAACCCTTGTTGTGGAGTCTCCTGCTTGAGCAGGAGGTTGGACTAGAAGACCTCCAAGGGCCCTTCCAACTTTATTCAGATTGACTGATAACCCTATATAATATTAAAGACAAATGAGTTGTCCGGTTCAAGGCATAAACTACGGAGACAGATTCAGCTAAAAAGATTAAATTGTTGAACACAATGACTGGAGGAATTCTTTTATCTGAAAGAGCCAATTCGGTCTAGCAGTTAAGACATCAGGCTAGAAAGCAGGAGATAGAGAACTCCTAGTTCTACCTTAGCAACAAAACCTGAATGGGGGATTTTGGGTCACTCACCAGGAATTTGGGACTTCTAGTCTTGCCTTAGCCACGAAAGCTGGCTGGGTGACTTTGGGCCAACATTAGGGGACTGTGACTTCTAATACCACCGTTGTGGGAACTTGTGCAAAAAGATACTCCTCTAAGGACGGAAACTCATGAATTGAATTAAAAACAAAACTGGTGCAAATAGGGGAGGAAAGAAAAGGCCACAAGTGACTTAATTTTCCTTTGTCACATTGCACTTTCTCTTTTTAAAAATAGGCTGACCCACATTTCCTTTACAAATGTGTTCCTTTGTTTATTGCTTGGGGAGTGGGGCAGGATGGCTTGAAAGACAAGGGTGTATTCAGCTGGACCTGCTCAGCTGAATTCAAAGAATTTCAAAGGGTAAAAGTCAAAGTGAGATTAGCTGCGCTTTGAAAGGCTTTTCAGGTTCCTGTGAGTAGAAGTAGCCATATAGGAACATTTAGAGTAGAGGTCTCCAAACATGGCAACTTTAAGATTTGTGGGCTTCAGCTATGCTGGCTGGAGAATTCTGGGAGTTGGAAGTCCACAAGTCTTAAAGTTGCCAAGTTTGGGAACCCCAGATTTAGAGAAATGAGGCTGCTGTGAGGGTCAGACTGATTCTGTTGCAGAAGATTGCAAAAATGGGGCAACTCCAGCATTGATCATCCAAGACAAAGGAGGAACTGCGTGTGCCACCACTTCCCCAAGAGTCTGGAAAACTCGGTGCTCTCGGAGCTTGGTGGTTTTCTTGCAGACATTTCATTACCAAGCTACGTAACATCATCACTTCCCCAAGTCCACACCTTAGTACTCTTCAGAAAAGAATTTGCATTAATTGCCAGGCAGTGGAGCATGACAGGGAAACGCTGCACCCATTCAACAAAAACTAAGGTCAGCGCGAGTGCCTTATTGATTCAAATCACTCTTTGGCTAAAGAGAAAATGTCACAGATTTTGCACATTTGTGTTTGAATTGGAAGAAAAAGGATAAGGTTACTCTTATTGGCAAAGCTAAGGATTTGACTACAAGATGAAGCAACTTCATGGAAAAGCTGCAGGGGGAAAAAAAAGGTGTAACTGAGGCATGTTAATATCACAGATATGAGAGAGGCCTGCCCTATATTACTCTTACCTCGTGAAAATGCAGTGTTTGATGTGGGGATTTCCTTTGGCCCCGCTGAAATGAGTGTGTTTGTGTATGTGTGAAAAATGATCTCCCACCATCTGTTGAACATCCTTCTACATGACAAAGTGAACTAATATGAGGGGTGGTTCTTCACCAACCACTTGAAATATACTTGGTAATAAACCCTGTTCTTTACTCACTGTAGCATCTCAGGCCAGGACAAGAAGCAATGGGTGGAAATTCCTCAGAAGGAATGCCAAACCTGGAAATATGGAGGACCTTCCAGACTGAGAGAGCAATTAACCAATGGAATAGCTTACTTCCAGTTGTTGTGGATGCTTCATCGCTGGAGATTTTCAAGAAAAGATTGGATAAAACAATTTCTCCAGAATGGTATAAGGACTCTTGCCTTGGGCAGGGGGTTGGACTTGATGACCTCCAAGGTCCCTTCATGAATCATTGCTTTTAGGGCTGGAGTGTCTGAGGACAGAACTATGTTACTCACAACCTAATCAGGAGGACAAACAGACTAGGAAAGGTATTGTTTAACTCCCTGCTATTTTAGTCTCTCAAATTGCCTTGGGCAATTTAGATTTCCACATCCTTCACCTTTTATTCCCCAGTGGATTTTCAATCAAATATGTTTCCCTGGAATGTCAGTTAATTTACATGCAGACTCTGAGTAAAGCAAGGGGATGCAAGGGGAAGGATGGAAAGTTTTCTTTTTATCCTTCCTGTTCTGTGTGCAATTATAGGAGTCCCCTTTATATTCATCATAGCCTTTGGTTAGCTTGCTCTCTCTGCCCCATTTTAATGCTTCGAAAAAAATATGTATGTCTCAATAGTTTCAAATTTAATAAAGCAAAAAGGAGGTTTAACCCTATTTTCTGGCATCCTTTCTTCATGCTTTCATAAATAATATTAAGATTGGAATCTGGAGAATGACAAATACTTTGTAATTTAAACATCTGTTGAAATCCCACAAATTTCAGAGGGATTTAGACTTACCAAATATTCTTATTTTGGAATTACAAATTCAAAAGGGGCTGTAACTCAAACATTCCAAGTTTAGTCCCATTCTCTGGTGTTTGTAACTAGATCTGGGGGAAATCTAACTGAAAAGTAGCCAACTAATTCTTTCTTAACTTAATAACCTTTGGATCGGTTCAGTTTCCACTCTCATAATCCTCCTCCAGCATAGCTGGGGTAAACAACAGTGAGCTGGATGGATACTAAGGCTTTTGTTTTGCTTTGTTATTTTGGTTCTGTACTAAAAATTACTATTTTGGCAAGTATAAAGTGATGGAATTATAGTCATTGTTTTTGCCAGTATGAAGTCAGGGAACATCAGATGGCTTTAGCATTGTAAACAATACAGATGTTTAAGCAGTTGTCCTAAAATAAATTATTATGCAACTGACCTCATGGCAGTTACTAAAACAGGTAGCTCTCGACTTACAACCTCCATTGAATCCAAAATTTATGTTTGCTAA